ATGTACTTCAACTGCTGCAAAAGAGAATAATAAATAGGGAAAATAAAAAATACTCAGTCTTTAAAATGGCTAACAAGTAACATGCTCAATACAGGTAAAAATCCAATATTCCCACTATTGCATCTTTAAAGAACTAACTGGCAATTAATCACCTGCTAAATGATTTTAAATCTGGCTTCACACTAAGCTATGCGGTGCTCACAATAGGATTGGGACCACATTTTTAGTCTGGAATGGTAAAGATAAAGTCAGCTAAAGCCCCTGCAAATATTTATTCTATTCCTTATCTATGACTTCAGCTTGGTTATGCAGCTCATATATAAGAAGTGGTTTAAGATTCTCATTTTTCAGATACTATGTAATCATCACGATTTTGAAAGTCAAAAGAATTTGTTTTGTTAATGGCATTTTAAGAAGAAATTTTGCACACAAATGTAAAACCTGCACTGTGAAGAAACAACAGAACATTGCTAGCAAAGCAATTAATGCTAAATAACAGACACATCATGTTTGAATAACATATAGTCTAAATAATTCAAAACCTTAATTTTATTCCCAGCAGTTCTGTTGACAGTAGCACTACTTCGACATTCATCAAAATCACACTCTGCTGATTTGCTCTGGCTAAATCCACACTTCAGGTATTTTAAGATGAAATCTCTCATTGCAAATACTTCCCAGTATCCAAGGGCCTTATAAACAAACAAAAAGACAGGCCCGCAGAAAACAAGATTATTTCTCTGCCACCACTCTTGAACAATAGTTATTTGACAGTACTGGCAGCGCCACACAAAGCTTCCCGACACAGCCTTGGTCTGCTCTGAAAAGTAGCTAAAAATCCAATGGATTGCGTGAAAAAAACGCTGCTGCCTTTTGATTTACGGAGGTTTAGTTGTAGGCAAGTAATGATGAAAGAATTACATGGAAAACAGTAATACAATTACTAGCCTGGATAATTGAGGATAAGTTCTTAAAAAGTAGAAGGAATGAACCAGAAGAGAAACCGCAGCGGTAAGATTTTCAAGTTCAGGACTAATACTGGTCCCAGTACAAAAAGACAGCTGAAAGCAGCAAGCGAAGGGTCACCCTTCAAAGTAACAACAGCAACAAAAAATCCACCTCCATACAGATCAAATGTGAGTTTTGTCTCATCATCCACTATTACCTCAGTAACTCCACTTTTCCTCTTTTCCGTCTCAGTCTCAGAGGCAAAACCACATACATTCAGATACTCTATCTTAAAAAAACCCAAACTTTAAACGATTTCAGAAGACAACAGCAGCACAGGAGGTCAGCAAACAGGAAACGATGAACCATTCATAGATATAAGCACGAAGACATTTCAACTGAAATTTAGATAGGAAGATGAAGTATAAATACCAAATTTCTAACTGCTTTTAACACCTTCCGTAATTCCTTGGGAACTAAAAATTTTCCTACAGGTCTAGCAGTCAAGAAAATTCTTAATCCTTTAAAATCCCTACTCCCTAGACAGGATCTACAGCAATCTGTAAGGCAGCTACAAATACTTCACCTCTCACTTCCTCTTATTAAAAAAAAGTCTTAACCATTTCCTTTAACCGCAATACCACATATTGTGTGGTTCTCTCTAGTAATTTGAGTTTCGATATCATCTTCAACAGAGGAAGCTATGAGAATCTTAAACAGCAGTCTTGGAATCGACTGTTTTCAGAAAAGAAAAAAAGAGAAAAGAGAAATCTCTCTGCAGCTGGGGTGCAGAGAGATCCACAATAAAACACAGTGATCAAACCCAAGATTTCTGGGGCTCACCATCAGAGCCAGCCAGCTACCACTGTCAAGCAGTACTGACTGCAGCTTAAGAAAATAACTATTTGAATCACAAATCACTACATGAACACAGAGTGGTGTCTGGGACATCTCCAGATTTGCAGAACTGTATGTCACACAATAATCAAGCCACTTGGTCATGCTTCCTCTCTCCCTGTATGCAAGAATTTTGGACTCGGTTCACGGCACTTGCAGGCAAAACTGGTGTCACCTCTAGTCCTGATGCTCCCCTACCGAAAACCTACCCATCTGCATCGCTTCACTAACGTGAGCAACAGCAGAAGCTACCACCATATGGGCAAACGCGCTCAGGACTCTGCCATCTGAACATGCCAGCAGAAACGTGTCTGTAGGCACTGGACCGCTTAAGGTAAGTGTCCCCAACTGAAAACAGAGTCCCCACTCACAAGGGTTAAGGCGTATGTCAAGATGAAGTTTAATTTTTCCTGCCTCGTTTCCTGCCTTCTCCCCACCAAAGCAGGGCTACACTCAGGCGAAATTCCCCTAGCCTGTTTGTCACCTGGGATATTTCTCTCAAAGCCTAACAAGCGCACAAATGACTTCCCAATTTTGATGCTTTTCTCCATAAACAGGGAATTTCTGGTCTGTGTTAGGAGTGGGATTATATTGTTACAATTATTAAGTGGAAGCAATTTTCCAACATACAAAACTGCAAACTAAAAGGAACCTCACTTCTATTGCACAAAGAGAGGGATTTGCAGTAATTTAGTTAGAATGCTTTATTTACATCAATGAAGATTTGCAGACAAGCTCAGGTGCACATCAACTACTGACATTGCTTTGCATCAACACTGACTTCCGAACACTTCAATCATTTGGGGTTTTTTTTTCCCCAGAAACACCACCTTACTTAAGATCAACACTGCACATGGTATAGCCAAGAAGCCCTTACTACTTCTGGAGCACGAGCCTCCCATATGAGCAGAACAATTTGAGAAAACACATCCTTTAGCTCAGATCTGTTAGGCAGGATCACTCCTGACAGAAACCTGGGTTCAGAAGATCCAAGAAAGCACCTGCAACTCTCAAACTCCCTCTGCCACTGCCGCAGCGCAGGCCAGCTGAGCCCAGCATGCGAATGGCCCAGAAATTTTAACACGCTAAACCTGCAAAGGCATGCTCATTGCTTGAATGTAATGACCAACCCTTCCTTGGAAATGAGAAAAACCTCTCAGAAGGAACGGTGTTGAAGGCAAAGCAATAAAATCCTAAGCAGCGTTCCTTACTGGAAGCAGACTGAGCAGCTGTACGAATTTAGATGATGTTAGGAAATCGCACGTTAGGAAAATTAAGCTGGTAAGGATATATGAAGCACCAGGAGCCGGGGATGGCCCTGAACTGCGTTCTTCCTTGTAGGAAAGCACAAGGATTTCCTCCAGAAGAGAAATCAACGGCGGAGGGAGGCGGAACCCATCCTTTCCGTCCATACCCAGACCCGCGGCTTCCTGCGCCGCCGAACCGCCTCACCTATGCAAACACCCCATTTATTTCGTTTCGGGAAGGCGGGGAGCAGTTCTGGCACCCACGACAGCTTCAAACATCTGCTCCATCTCACGCCGGGAGCTGCTAAGCAACCGCGCACCTCGAACTTCGAGAAATTAAACTTACTAATTTTACCCCAAACCCTTCCCTTCTGCAGCGACGGGTTTCGCAACTCGGCGTGGGAAAGCCCGGGCTGAGCAGCCCACTCCCGGCTCCCGTGACTCACGCACGGCGGGGCGGGAGCGG